TGTGTTCATTTTTTACCAAAAATAGGATTTACCATGCAGATCATAGTAAAAATGATCTACGTACACTCTACCCTTAATTACAATATTCACAATTTCCACATTTTAAATCTCGACAAAAGAGAGAAAGATAAGAGGAGTAATAAGAGAGAAGAATCTTTCGCAATCCAATCAACTAATTTATCACTATCATAATCCACGTCAATGTCATATTGGTAACAAGCGACTGTTTTAAAAATTCCCTTAGAATCATCTGCCTTAGCTGATTTTGATAATATATAAATGCTTTATGCTACTCCAATTCCTAAATAATAATTATTCATATCTGCAAATTTTTTATAATGGATGAATGCCTGATTTTCATCTTTTTCAACTCCAATTCCATATTCGTAACAATAACCAAGCCAGATCATTCCATCCGAACGACCTATCCCAGTATGCCTTTGGCAATCAATAAAATTCTGCGTAGGCATAAAATCGGAGGGTCCTGCTACATCGTTAAATCTAAATTTCAAGGCCTTTTCTCTTAAGGTCCGAATCGAGAAACTTCCCTCCTCATATCTTAGGTCGGTTACATGTTTATCCGTTCCATACATGATCATATTTTCATCATCGTCATATTATATACTGTAATATTTGATATGATAATAGTTGGTAATAGTTTTGCTGTATATCGTTCTGTTTTGTGGTTTGTGTATATAGTTTGTATGTATTTATGTACTATGTTATTTTACTTTTATTTTGGTTTTCAAAGCTATGAAGAAAAGTCGGGCATCAAAGGAAAAAAGGCCGATCACAATTTTCTAATCTACTTTTAAATAGCAATTTCGGTTTCACAATTGACCGGGATGATCCTCGCGTCGCGATAATGACCTTAACATGACTATCGTCATGCGTCAGGTCATAGTTCCTACTACATAAATAAGTTCGGATTCAACTTCTTATCATCTTTTTAGTTATGGAAGATATTGTCATTTATCCAGAACATCATATTTTGATATAATATTATTTAATCTTTTTGATCATTTTAATAGTTTTCAAAATAATTTTCAAACAAAACATCCTCTTTTTCGAAAATTCATTGTAAAGCTTTATGAAAATCTAGTTAACAGTTAAGGAGTTTTATTATGTAGGTTATAATTCAACAGTTCTTGCAATTCCTCTACCAAACTTTGTTTCCTATCCAAAAAAATATAATTTTTGTAAAGAATTAATATTACCTTATTACAACTGTTTAACATATTCAAATAAGCTTGAAATGATAAATTACGAGAAACACTACTTAATGTCAAATGGAATACTTATGGCAGGAAATATTATTTTGCAATTTGGTTAATCTGTACAGGTTTTCTTAGTAGTATTATCACTGTTTCCACTTTATATAATAAAATTTTTAAAAAATTTTCTTGGTCACTGCTATTATTCTTGGATTTTGGCATCTAAATTTTTGTAATTCGTCAATTTATTTATGC